GTTGGTAGGTGGGATCTGGTCCCTCTGCCCAGCAGTGATTGTCAGCCAACCTTGTCTTAGAGTAAACTCCAGTAAAGATGCCCAAAAGGTTCCCAGACCTTGGCTGCTGGCTTCAGAACTAGCTGCTGGGATGGAATTTGACCTACATAGAAAGCACCAGGTAGAAACCTTGTTTCCTTCAGGAACCAGTACCGGGAAGTAGTGGGGAGAACCTGACCAGGAAGGACAGAACATGTGCTACCAGAGTTTGCCCTGCCCCCCATTTGAACCTTCAGAGAAGTCCCTGAACCCCAGGGTAGGAGCTTTTTCCTCTGAGCCTGCCATTCTTTGGTAAAGTAGAAGCAATCTCTTCTAGAGTGGAAAGAGTATGTTCATGGTGGTCAAGCCAGGATGTGAGCAGCCCCTGGCAGGGTGCCTGGCACATTACTGGTGCTGCTGATAAGTGCCCGGCTCCTACTCCTCCCCCTGTAAAGACCCAAGTGCACCGCCTGCCTCCAGGGCCACCACAGAGTGCCCAGGAGTCAGTCATGCAAGTTTTAACACCTCTAGAAGGCTTTAAGGAAACTGATTCAAGAGGAATCAGGGCCTAAGGTCACGTGAAGGTCAGCATTGTGGGATTAGAGAATCACTGTTAAGATCTGGGAGGCTTGATGGAATCAGTAAAATAGCAGGCTAGGAGTGCAGATAACTCTAGTCCTGCCCTTTGCCTTTATGTTTGCTAAGAAACCAGGGTCTCTGTTCTCCAACCTCACCTTCCTTTTATCTATCAAATGATCATGGCACATGGGTATGCAATATCTCTGATTTTTTTTTTAATACTCAGAACTTTACTCAAATGCATTTTTAGAAAAGATATATGTGTGTGTGTGTTTATAGATATAAAGTAAGTGAATGAGTAAAGGGTGCTGGACCTCCTCCCTGCCCCATAGACTAAAAAGCTTGAGTGGCCTGTGCTCCAGCAGCACCCAAAGACCATGCGGATGCAGCAGAGTGAGACAGTGACATCTAAGCCGGGACTCTCCTCCCACAAGGAAACACCCTGCCTCTGCCTCCTAGTGGTGATGCCACGTGCCCTCCCGCCCTCTGCCAATATTGACGAAGAGTCTGCTACCCGACAAGCCAGGCTGGAAGGGCACACAGGTGGGGTGAGAAGGCCAGTGATCAAAAGCTATCCACTGTGGCCTGGCTTATCCAGTCATCTCAGCTAGTGGAAATAAAGGTCCCCAAAGCTACTACTACACCAGTTGCTTCCTGAGATAGGGAAGAGGGGGCATGGAAGACCTCTTGTGTGCGAGTGCCTGAGCTCAGATGAACTGAGAGCCCATGGAGCACCTAGGGGATCTGAACTCTGTCATCTGACTCAAGGTTTCCTCAGAGGGCTTGGGAAGGGCGTCAGCCATTTCCACTTCTCGGAGCTTTGATGTTCCAGCATACATAAGGTTTCATTCTGATGAAAGCTACATGGAATGAGTTTTACCCAAACAGAAAGTTGAGAGGTGGATCTTTATGGATGTTCTTCACTCCTTGTCATCCCTGGCATTATTTTGCTGCTGGGGCAGCAAAGCCGGGTTTCCTTCTCGGGGTCCACAGTTGCTAGCAGATGAGTGTGTTACACTAGAGGCTGTAGAGCACACACCAAGGGAAAGACTTGAAAGGGCGTGGGATGTGCTAAAAGATGCCGCGTTCTCAGGTGCAGTTTGCAGCCCACCCTAAGGCACAACCATCACAGCCTGGTAAAGATAAGCACATGCTGAGTGAGTGGATTTCAATTTCATCTGCAAGCTAATAGGAGCAGATAGACGGTGGTGGCCCAGTTGAGGGTGGCTTCTTGTTCTGACTTCATTCAGCAAACACTTGTTGATTGAGATTTCCCAGGCCCTAGAAAACCAAGGCTCAGAGGTAGGGCCTGCCTTGAATCCTAACAAGGTAAAATTGATGTGGTAGACTGTATCCAAACCTTATTCCCCTTAGTTCTAAGTCGGCAGTGATCAAACAGGGTGTGGAATGTGAAGCAGGGGGTGGGGGACCTGGGGCAGGTGCCTACCAAGGAGCGGGAGCTCCATTCCTCCCCCTTTCAAGGCTTACCTTGCTAAACACTCATTTTCTTAACCTGGCCATATCAGCCACCCCGGTTTCTCCCTCTGCATGTACTGTGCTGTCTACCTGGAATGCAGTCCTACCCTCGCTGCCTTCCTGCTTGGCAGACTGGGTGCTTGCCCTTCAAGCTGATTCCAATGTCACCTACTGGGAAATTGAGTTTTGATTGCCCACAGGGCAAGCTTAGAAGTGTGTCTTCCAGAGCCTCCTCAATTCCTCAAGCACCTCTACTGAAATCCAGATGCCATGGGTGGTCATTGGGTCTGCCTCCCCCACACAGGAGCTCACTTGGCTCTATTAGCCGTCTCTTTGACATCCATCAGGCATGGGCCTCCTGGGTCCCGAGCCCCAGTTCTTGCATATGGCAACTGGACCTGTTCACCAAGTGTTTAAAGTTCTAACAAGGCAGCCTGCCTAGGTAGATGTAACCCCCATACTTGGTAGGGAGGTCTTCTACAGTGGAGTTAGATCTTGACCGTTTGTCTTTGTTCCCCAGCAGCTTCCTACCCCTGCTCGCCAATCCCCCATTACTCCCACCCCAGCCTGTTGAATAGGGCCTGAAGGAAGACACGCCTAAGGATCTCTGTCTTCAGAGCCGCACTTACTGGAAACAGGCCCACTGTCATAGTGCACACCTCAGCTAGCCCATTGCAGCAGCCGCTACTCATCTTCTACCTGCGTAATCGTTGAAATATAATAATAAAATACTTTGCTATAAGTAATGTGAGATCTTGGGCTTATAAAAATTTATTGTAGGTGAGTTCAGTCACAGTGTTCAGAATTCAAGAACCTGCACAAGGATCTAAAATGAGATATCATTTTTGCCTTACCTCTGGCCAGCCACCCAGGACCCCCGGTGTTCATTATTATCTAGCCTAAGCTAGCCCTGGACTCAGATCTTCTTGCTTCTGCTTCCCAAGTGCTAGGATTAAAGATGCGAACCACCATACTCAACCTTCATTATCCTTTATTTACATGCATTTAAAAGTAGTTATTCATATTCCTCCCTCAATTTTTTTCATATCATAATGACATTCAATATGAATGCTGCAGAAACTGGCTTTTACACTTATATTTATTGTGATTTGGAGGCTGTCCCAAACCAATACATCTGATATATTCTTTAATATTCCATTATATTGCTATGCCATGGATTACTAAACCATAGGTGTGTTCTAATTTTATTAGATGTATTAGAAAATGAATATTTGCATACCTTAAGTATTACACCTGAGAACAGCCCTGAGCATGTCCCTCACCAGACAGCCTGGCACATGGTGGGGCCCAGCTGTCACCACTGAGTCCTGCCACTGATGTTTACCACAGCCTCTTGAGTCCCAGTGGTCACCTGATGACCCTTGGCTTGGCTGTCATGTGCTCACTGCCCACTCAACTAGCAGCCATGAGTCTGGAGGCTCCCTAGAGAGCTGGGAGGCAGGAGCTTTGAGGGACCCTGCCTTTTGCTTTGGTCCCACAGTTGGGAATTGAAGGGAAGCCTCAAAGAATGAGTTCACAAGGTCGGCCAAGGAGAAATGGGCAGATGGGCCATTAGGAGGCAGGCCCCAATATTCTGTTGTGCGCGTTGGAGTAGACAGACCTTCCCCTTTCTCAGCCTCTGATGTGACAACTGTCGCTTTGGCAATACTTGTCCTGCGGGCTTCTGGAAAATGAGAAGACCTAGGAACATGTCTGCTTAACAGCTACGCCCAGCTCTATCTAACAATCTAGAAGTCAGCACTGCTTCTCGGTACTATGGGGAAACAGGCCCAGAGTCCCAGACAAGCCAAAGTTCGGTTCAGACGATCCTCCACTGTCCTAGAGTCTCACGCGACTCAGAATCCCAGGATTCTCCTCCTGGACCTGCAGTGCCCAGCCCAGCACAGTGCAGGTGTTCTACATCTGCAGATTCCTGTCTATTTTCTTTTTTGGCATGTCTCCCCAGCTCTGTTTTCCCACACCCAGTTAAGGGCCTGCCTCGTGTCGCATTTCTTGGCTTCCTCGTTTGAAAAGCTGGAAGGAGTCCCTTTTGTCTATCCAGGTGGACACTTACTGGCCTTTCACCTCTGTAAGCAGGCCCTTTCACCTGCTGGCCTCTCCCCTACCTGCTGCCTCCAACCCTGTGCTCCTTAGGATTCAGCGCTTAGTCACCTCAAGTCATGGGCTGTTTGAATTGCATTTCTGGCTGGTGTTTCACCTGGGCACCAGTGACTCTGAAAGCTTATGGTTTGGGCATTGGTGTGAGGAGCATTGAATCGCATCTCCAGGGCTCTGAGTTCCAACCCTGATCCTGCTGAAGACTCCTGAGTAGTTTGGAACTTTGGTTTCCTGCTCTGAGATTCCAGAACTTTGCTTCTGGCCCTGGAAGGGTGGGGAAGGGCAATGTCCTGTCTCTAATGCTGAATAATGTCATTGTTCCCATTTTGCAGATAGGCACATAAAAGGTAGGGATACAGGGAGGCCCAGCCTGCTGTAGTTCCCGTGGGCTAGACCATTGCCCTTGGCTTCAGATCAAGAGCCGTTCTTCCCCATCTGCGCTGTTCCTTTCATTTAGTTTGGCCTCCCTGGCTCAAGAAGGAAAGTTGGTTCCTGGTCCTCCCAGTCTGGAGCCACCTGAAGTGCAGATATCACTCTACCTGGGGAATGAGACCTGGAAAACTCAAGGCCTCTCTCAAACTGTGTAGAGAAGACCCTGATTCCTCTGTCCTCAGAGAAAAGTCTAGAAGTCAGCTCGGCAGGTTTGGGCACCCGAGGCCAGGAAGTAGCCAAGTTTCCTGGGAGAAGGATAGGTGTGTTGCCAGGAGTTAAGCGAGTCATCTGAACATGAGACCCTGCCAGCACTGGCTTGGCACTGTAGTACTCAGGGCCCAGACATGTCTGTAACGCTGTGATTTCTTCTTCTGCAGAAGGTGACTGGCCGCCTCATGCTGGCCGTGGGAGGGGCAGTGCTCGGATCCCTGCAGTTTGGCTACAACACTGGCGTCATCAATGCCCCCCAGAAGGTAAGTGCTACACCATCCCACCCATACATACCACCATCACCCACATACTCATGGCACCTCCTGGGTGTCTGCCATTGACGTCAGCTGGAATTCTAGGATCTTGATAGGTCACCTAGCACAGACATTTACCATGCTCAATGTAGTAGGCTTTGTTTACATGGTTTTGGGGTTCCCGAGAGCCTCAGGGCAGGTGGGGGGGCATGGTCAGAGTGGAGGACCATGTGCCACCCCAGTGCCACCGAGGTGGACAGACAGAGCCAGTGTGTAGAGCTGCCCTATTGTGCGGTTTATGTCCTCGCACCCCATCCACACACAGCAGTCCAGTTCCAGATTGAAACTCCTTCCTCTTCTGGAGTTCCCATGTCAATCTAAGCAAACATGGCTGCTTGCCCTGAGGCACCACAGGAGCTAGAGGCCTGGCTTCCTTCTCCCCTTTGCACATCCCAAATCTGCCCCCACTTGCTCTCTGGGAGTCTAGAGTGGAGAGGACTCTGGCAGTTGCCTGCTTGTTCTGGGAGAGGAGGGGGGAGCTTTGGGAACAGAAATGGAGACTGCCACAGTCCCTCCTCTACAGTAGGAGAAGAGGGGGGAGCATTAGGAACAGAAATGGAGACTGTCACTGTTCCTCCTCTACACTAGGCATTTTGCATGTGTTTATAATGTTGGGTGCTGGTTTCTATTTTATAGACACGGAAAATGCCTGCCAGGGCTAATGAAATGACCCCTAGGCCCAAGGTCATATGCTGGTGAATGGTGGCCTCTGAAGCCAAACTCTTTGTTTCCATAGCCTCGGGCAACGTTTCTGACCCAACACTCTCGCCGTTTTAACTACTTTCACAGGGCTCAGGGAAATGGAAGTAGACAGCCCTCCTGTCAGGACCATGCTAGCTAGCCAGACTGATGAGGCTAGACAGTGAGTGCAGTGAGCCCAGGGCCAGAGCCCCAGCTAAAGCACCAGATTGTGTGAAATTAGACCTGGGCTTCTTCCAAGTAGGTGGGGCTTGACTATAGGGGCCACGCCTGATGCTGGTCACTAGAAGGCTTGGCTGCTGACTCATGCTGAGCTGCAGCAGCCCTCATGGGATTTTTCCGGGATCTGACATGGCGACCGTGAGCCCATGCTTTTACTAAGTGCATAGAGCAGCTCCCACCAACGTGTGTGCTTTGGAGCAGGCTCTTTCTGGGAATCTGAGCAGACAGAAAGCCTGTGAGACAAGTTAGGAGGAAGTAGGAAGAGAAGTTTGCACATCGAGGTTCCCTACACACCCCCAGATTCTGAAGTAATTGGTGTGGGATGCTGAGGAAGCGCCTTAACTGTTTCCGATGGGTAGCTGACGTTGGGAAGTACTGGGTTAAGCAATGTCTTAACTGTGGTTACAGTGAGCTGGTGACATAACTAGGATACAGGAGGAGTTTCTCCCGACACAGACAGGGTGGAGTGAGCAGGGGAGGTGGCAGTAAGATGACAGATGCACAGAGAGCTGCATCCTCCATGAAGAAGGAGTATTTCGGCATCTCAGGACGGTGGGCTGGGGGAGAAGAGAATTTGGGTCCACAGCAAGTCAGAACTGGACCACTATAGTCCTTGCATGAATGACTTGGACCTGCAGCATAGCCAGCCCCCAGCTTGGCATGGCACAGCCAGATGGGCAGGTGGAGGACATCATGAGGACCTTCAAGCCCGTGGAGGAGGACGGGCCTGATCAGATCTGCGTCTTTGGAGATATTCAGGCACCTGGAATTGAGGAATAGAGCTGAAAGTGAGCTGGGGTTAGAAGCACAGACTAGTGGAGTAAGAACAAATGCCGGGTGCTGGAGGGATGGGTCAATGTAAAAGGGGCCTGCCACCGAGCCTGACCACCTGGGTTCTACCCCAGGACCCATGTGGTAGAAGGACAGATTCCTGCAAGTTGTCCTTTGATCACCACATGTCAGAGTACACATGTACCCTCCCCATACAAATGTCATTTGTTTTTCTTAATCTGGAAAGGAGAGATAGACAGGATTTAGTCAATCAGTTCAGTATGAGACCATGAGGGAGTGGGGTTCAAGAATGGCTTTTGTATTTTTGGTTCAGGGGAGGAGTTAGTAGGGGTGAGGTGGCAGGAATCAGTTTGTTGTCTCTTCGGAGATGTGCAGAGGTGCTCATCCATTTGACCTGGCTTCTTGGACACAAAAACTGGAGAGTGGCTGAGTGAGGGTCACTGCTATCCAGATGGGAATGGGGGAGGATCTCTGAAGTAAGGAGAACAAGGGCGTAGCTCCTTCCCAGTGGCAGAGGGAGAGGACCCTAGGGAGAGGAGCTGACATCTAAAGCCAGGTGGACATGCAGGGCATGGTGGTGCCCACCTAGAATCCCAGCAGGTATTCGAGAAGTGAAGGCAGGCAGCTCAAGAGACTTGGGGAGACTTGGTAGAGAAGAGAGAAAAGGTCGGAGTGACTGGAGGGTTGACATAAGGTTGGTGTTTGTGCTGGGATTTTTGTTCTTATTCCAGATTTCTTTATAAACACTATGTAAGGCATCAGTAGAGGATAGGAAAGGCTAGGGTAAGTGCAGGGAACCTGTAGGAGGCAGCTGTTGAGCAGGAAGGAGTCCAGGAGACTGCTCTTGGCAGGGAGGAACAAGATACTTCTGAAGACAGAGCAAAGCTGGAATGAGTGTGTCTGTCTGCCTTGGAAGCTTACTAGCAAGTAAGGAGCAGTCGAAGGCCAATGCCGGAGGGAGATGGCCATGGCGTCAGAGGATAGGTGTATGAAGAGAGGACCCAAGTGTGGCTCAGCCAGCATGTAGCACACACAGTGGCCACCATGCTTGAATAAGACTGAATCCATTGCCCAAGGAAGGCATGGTGATTCAGTTCTGCTAGCACTGGCATGCAACAAGGACTTACCCAGAATCTATTCTGCAGCAAGGAGATATGGCTGACACCACAGAACACATTCTGGTTTCTAAAGTCATCCCATCTCGAGGGATGGGGAGACTCTTTAGGAAAAGGGGAGTGTGGGGATCTGTAAGGGGTAGGCTCCAGGACCCTCCTGATGGAGTAGCACAGTGCTGCACAAATCTCTGTACATTGTTCCTCTCGCTCACTCATCCCTTGGTTACCTGCATCTGAGACCACATAAATGTTGTCGGTATTTATTTGCTATACTTCCATATTGTTGAGGGATTAACGACAAAACAGTCTGTCCATGGTCAGCAGAGATGCAGTTTTCTTACAAATATTTATGTTCCCCAGCTGGTCGAACACAGAGATTTCAAAAGAAGAGGAGAGGTTAGGGGAGGGGCAGCAGCAGAAGGGCTTTATGAAGGATTTGGCACTCATACCTAGAAGAGGGGAGCAAGGAGGGCCAGATGCCCAGACAAAAAGTGTGCAGGACTTGGTCATGGGAAGGGGCTCCCCTAATGTGGAATCTGTCCGCCTGCACCGATGCTCCAATTTCCCAGGTCTGTTCCAAGTGCTTATCTTAGGGAGCAAGGCTGGGTGGCCATGCTCTCGAAGTTTTGCCCACAGTGAATAGACATTCCTCCACTCATCGCCACGAGTTTGTTCTTTGCCATAAAACAGGCCTGAAAGGCCTCTATCCGGAAGTAGTAATTAATCATGATATTATCTTAAATGTTTATACAGCACTTGCCCTCAAATTAACTCCTCTCCCTGCACCTTATAAGCCTGGCAGGCAAGACTGTCTTCCTTTTTGTGGGTGAGGAAACCAAGGCTGGGAAAGGCACCTGGAGAGTCAAAGGCTGAGCTGGGGTGCAGTGGGATTGGTGGGGGTGGGCTCCAGTCCAGTTTCTCTTAAGATGAGGTGGACAGGTGAACCTGACCCTGAATGCTCCACTAAGCTGACGTACACAGTGCCTCTCTCCATTCGGTGAGGGGCAAGACCCAGCACACTGAGAAAGAGGCTCCCATTGAACCCAGAGAAGAGAGACTGATGGGCACATCCGAGAAAGAGGCTCCCATTGAACCCAGAGAGACTGTTGGGAGGGACCTGATGTCAGCTCAGCCCTTCTTGTTTGGCAAGGGAGGATCCTGGTCTGCAGAGGAAGTGAGGCCTTGCCTGAAGTGACCTGGCTTCGCCAGTGAAAGAACTGAGCTAGACCTGCTTCCCAGCTCCAGCCCAGTGCCCCGTGTCTGAGCTGACTCCTCTCTAGGGGCACAGGCTATAGCCTCTCTCCTATGACCACAGACCCTGACCGCTGCCTTAGTCTCCTGTGTGTGTTCTAAGTGCTTTAGAAGTGCTCTTTCGGTTGTTCTCATCAGAACCTCGTCAAGTAGGCACCATAACCTCCATTTTCTGAGAAGGGAGTGTAGAGGAATGACAAGGCTACACCAAGGACACCATTAGCACAGAGTCTGGGTCCGGTGTGTGCTCAACCCCTTGAGAGACAGGTGCTGAGAAAGGGTGGCATCTAAACATTCTCTCTCTCGCCCTCTCCCTCCCTCCCTCCCTGGCTGGCCTTGAACTCACACAAATTCCCTGCCTCTGCCTCTGGACCCTTTTTCACCCTTGTCACACTTTTAGCCCACTGTGCTCTGAGCTCAGAGCCGAGTCAAGTCCAGTCGTGCACAGACAACTCAAGAACTTCCCACACAACTGTTGCACAATCCCTCACTCACGCCCTCACACTGCCACAGCCCCACCATTGCAAGCCCCCTTAGTTCCTCATGCCCAGCACCAGTGACACATGGATCAGACCATGTTTGTTCTACATCACATCACCTTGTAGTCAGCTGTCCAAGGACAGTGGTAGAGATGTGGACGGACACAGAGGAGCAGAGGTGGCGTTAACCCTGACTATTTTCTCAGCCTTAGCACCATGGGTACTTTGCACCGGATAGTTCTTCAGTATTTATTGTGATGGGCTGTCCTGTATTCAGTAGGATGCCAGCAGGCATTGTAGATATGACAGATGTTCTCTAAGGAGCAGATTACTCTTGTTTGAAAACAGCTTTCATGGAAGGAAGGAGTGGCCAGGGGGACTTCCCAGAGGG